GGAACTTTCGATGGGCTGTCGGACGGCAACTAAACCTTGGCAGCAGCGACAGTCGTATCACAACTGAGTGCGGAGACGGTTCTGGATAACTTTGGCCGCGGGGGTGGACTGGAGACTGATAACCGGGAGCGACTATCTTGCTTTAATTTATTGCCCTCTCTTTACGGCCTGCAGGGCCTGCCCGCAGACAAAAGAGTTGCCTTATCGCTGTCCCCCGACCCCCTTCACTGCCGGACCCTTTATATTTTGTATTTTTTCTCCCCTGTTCTTCTCGTCGTTTTCGTTGCCTTTTATTCATTCAAACAACAGAGCAATCGCACCCGCAGACTTTCTCTGCGCGTTGTTTTTTCAGCCCAGCGGTTTGTTGCTTTGGATTTTTCGTTTTTGTAATACAAGGTTTTTAAAGACCAGGAAAGGTGTTTCTTTAAGTTACACCTCAAGTCCGTTAGGTTGCTATAATTGTTTTCAATTAGTCCTGGGCGGTGTCACATAGCGTTTCTCAATAGGTGTAGATGTGTGTAGGGCTATCTGTCAGCCCAGTGGTTTGCATCTAACACCCTCCCAACGGTGGTCGAAATGGATAAGTCGAGTCATCTTATCTCTCCACTCCCTCGGAAATCAAGTATATTTCCCTCGTTGCAGGAAGATGGCGCCGCCGTTCCCCCACTTTCTTTGCTGCTTTCTTTCCTGTGCCCGCTCCTGCCCCGTGTTTTGCGAGCTGCGCGAAGTTCGCCCCACGCTGTACGAAAATGGACGATCAGCGCGATTCAGTATCTTTTTTCCCTTCTTCATCCAACTTTTGCAGTGCGGCAGCAAGGTCTCCCCCCCTCTCTCTCTCTCTCTCTCCCTCTCTCTCTCCCTCTCTCTCTCCCCTCCCCGTCTTTTTCTCTGCTCTTTTCCTCCCTGTCCCCACCCACTGTACCCCCCACCCCCTTCTCTTGCCAAGAGAAGCTTACCGAACCGAACGGCTTCGTCTGTTTTTATTTCGTTTACCCCCATTCTATATCGTCCACCCATCCATTCTCCTTTTGGTGCTCCCCGCTAGGCCCCAACCCCATCCCCCGTACGTCAAGGCCCCGGATGGAGTTTGTGGGAGGGCGCTAAGGAAGAATAATGACTACAGTATTAGGTTCGCACACACTTTCTCGCACACGGGCATACGTGCAGATCACTGCATAGTGGAAACCTTGAAATAAGTTCGTTTGGACTGCTGTTTTATTTCAACTGCGGTCAAGTGCGCCATATGTGATCTGTGTGGACTCGTTCAGTTCGACTTCAAATGCATTTCCGCATCTAAATTACCAATAACATTACATTTTACCAATCTGTTACCGAAATTACTTATTACAGGGATGCAGAATCGCTTCCTTCCGATGCGCTGTGGTTAGTTCCTTTGCGTCGATGTCAATCCAGCATGCTGCAAGGGCGCGAGGGGAGGCCCGATGAGGTAGCGGGGAGGGACAGACAAGTTATGTGTTTTAATCTCGAGCAAAGTATAAAAGTCGTCTCTCTCTCTCTTCCCGACTCTCTCACCCTCGTTCAGTTAGGTGCAACGGGGCTTCTATAAATAATCGAGATGCTGGTTATTGCGTTTAGTGGTCCTTTCGAAGGGGGAATAGAGGGGGCGGAGGGAGGAATCGCTTTCTCTCTCTTTCCCTTCTTCCGTCTGCGGCTGGTCGCATCCCTGCCCCCTCTTCCTCGCCACCCCTTCCCTTCGGCTGGAAGTGCTCTAAGAAATTTCGAAAATCGCCCATTTTCGCGCGCTGCTGAAGTCGGCTCATTTTTCGTAGCCGGTATGGAGTGGGAGGGGCCTGGCCTGGCCTCAGGGCCGTAGCCTCAGCCCATCGGCCCGCGCCGTGCCCATGCCTGCGATGGTTATTGTGGCCATCTTGGCGAGCGCTGCGCCCCTGGAGGGGAGAGGGAGCGGGAGGGGGAGAGGGAGAGGGGGAGCGGTGCGCTCCGGGCTCCGGGGCCCATCGCTGCCCTGCCTGCGGCCCTCACGGTGGACTCGTGCCGTTTCTTGATCTCGAGGGTAATTTATATTTGCGATCATGACGCATTTTTGCTACACGAGTTTCACCCGTTAGTAATAATGAAGGTATTCGGTTGTACTTGAGAACATTTGCGAGTGTTTGAAACGCCACACACTGCGAAAGGGTTGTGCGGCTCGCGATGTTAGCGCACCGAAGGCGGTCCGCAGGCTAAAGTAGTTTTGCTCCCCGAGCGAGATAACCAAGTTAAATCCTTATAAACCTGCCTGAAATATGTAGCTTGTGTACGGGCGACGCAGCATAAAGGCAGAGTAAAGGGAGCGCTAAATGGGGGAGAACGGGGCGAGATAGAGGGGCCCGGGCCCGGCCCGGACATCCTCAGGGATTACTTACGCCATCCCGTACGGGTCCTGCGCGAGCCTGCGCGAGCCTGCGCCCAAACCGTGTCTCTTTTATGCAAAGACTTTTGGTCTCTCTCTCTCTCTCTCTCTCTCTCTCTCTCTCTCTCTCTCTCTCTCTCTCTCTCTCTCTCTCTCTCTTTCGCTCGCTCGCCCCCCGCCCGCACTTTCCCCCCTCCCTCTCTCTCCCTGTCGCTCTCCCTCCCTCTCTCTCTTTATCTATCTCTCTTCCCCACCCCTTTTTCTCTACCCTATCTCTCTCACTCGCTCTCTTTTCCTCTCCCTTCCTCTCGCTCACTCTCTCACTCACTCTCACCCCCTCGTTGCTGTTATGGAGATAGCAAACTTTGAGAACGGAACATGCAAACGAGCGTCGGAGGTCCTTCTTAAGTTGCACAGTGTTGTTGTTTTTGTTGTTTGCCGCAAGTTTTGCTGCTGGCGCAAGGCGTCTCACCGGCCTTTGCTCAAATAAGGGTCACGTCTGAGAATGTGAGGTGTCTGTCGACCGGTTTCGTAGGCAAACATTCTTTGCCATTTTTAAAGCGTAATATACTGAGTTGACGATGTGATTGAAGTGAACTGTCAAGTGTCAAGTGGTGAAAAATGGTAGAGTGAAGTGGAGGCACAGTCCGACGAGGGCCTTTTTTTTTTACAATTCCGTGTCCGCAGGATGTCTAATCTGCTTGATATTAACACATTACCCTAATGCATGCAGCGAGGCCTCGCATGCTAAGAAAACTTGTTATTGAAGATTTCGTGTCTCTAGCGGACGGGTTCATCAGCCGCCAGTGCTGGGTGGTCGGAGCGTGTTGGCGAGAGAGAGAGAGAGAGAGAGAGAGAGGGGGGGGGGGCTGCTGGAGGCTGTTATCACAGCGCTGGTGGCAATTAGGTACCGGAGCTGCTCGGCAGATTGCGGTGGGGCTGCAGTGGCCGTGCTCCCCGCCGCGACAGCCCGAGTGTCCTTTCACTGGGTCCCTCCCGAACACCTCGTCAAAGTGTTTTATTGGTCGTTAAATCACCTTCCGGTCACTCGAGGTGGCGAGGGAGTGGTGGCCGCGAGCGGGGTGGGGGAGGCAGCGGGCAACATCTCGCTGCGTCAACTTTGGCATTGAACTTAATCCTGAGCTGCTATTATTTTCGTTGCCTACCGCTTTTGTACGCTTAATCATGCTTTTGCCGCTTTGTCACGCTTTGATCAATCATCTCAGCTGAATTTCATAAGTGCCATTTCAAATATCTTGTCGCAATGTGCACTGCAGTTAGAATAAATATTGCACCAATCGTTTCACGAAAACTGATCACAGATGCTCGGACATGATTTTTTTCCCCTTTTCTGAACCAAGATGTTGACGCCATTGTCACTATTTTCTAGGTGGACCTACAGCCAGACAGACACCTGGCCTCGCGGATATCTATGGGGATTTTATTAGAGGTATAGTGTACTTCCTGAATTTATTCATGTGTATACGCTTTTGCAGTTAGCGAAATATGCTTACAGAAAGTAGTACATAAGAATTGCTTTCGATAAACGCATGCATGTACGGCCACGTGGTTCTATCGGGCCTTCTCGATGTGCTCCGACTGGCCCGTCGGTCGCACAGCAGCGGACAGTGCCCCAACCCTTTCTCAGATCTCCGTCTTGTAGCCGGCAGGCGATAGTAGGAGCGAACCGTGCGCCTCCAGAATAACAAGGGTCCTCCCTGCTATGCGTGGGCACGCCCCAAATAAACGCAAACGGAATATAATTTCCATTGAGATTGTTCTTGTAGGATGGCACAAGAAATTCCCTGCCGCCATATTCTGAGGGTTAAGTTTGTGATACGGAAAGGCTACGCGCGGGGGGGGGGGGGTGAAGTCCCATTAACAATATTCATCTGACAGTAAAATATCGCGATTCAACAGACGTTTTTCTTTTATGGCCCTCCGGCTGTGCTCTCTTTTCTTGTCCGCTCCTGGAGAAAGAGCAGTTTCCGCGTGCATGCGCGTATTGGTCCTCGTATTTGGGACGAATAGCGATGGTGCGGAGAAAGACGTTTGAATCTGCTATAAAACCGTAACCATCATTGTGTTGTGCGCGTTATTTGGGGATGAGGTGGACAGTGGCATGTGTCACTCCCACAGTGAACAAGCGTTCCCCCTCCTCGCCGGTAACCTCCCTACACTGAGATGTTACTTCGTAAGACGACGGAACGTTATAGGCAAAGGAACGCTTGCGGCATAAGCCGTTTTATTTTTTTGAGACAGTCTAGGGGCCTTAAACGTCATGTGAGAAGAGTTTACTGACCATTGTTTCGACATACATGTCGAGGTATGAGCTGCGCTCTTGTTCTGGCCACTCCATAGTGCTTTGGGAAAAAATACCACTGCAATGTTAAACTTAGAATTTTGAAACAATTTTTTTTGTTTAGGGTGTGTAAATGAGTTTGCCAGGACTTCTCGCTGTTTATTAACCTCGAGGTTAACCTATTATCAGGAGTTTGGAAAATAGTTAAAATTTAATATCCCATTCCCGTCCAATTAGCGCAGCCTCGCCGTTGGGCGGGCGGCCGCGGTAGGCGCAATAGGAAGATTTATCGGTTTTGTTTGGTGTTCGTCTCTTATTGTTCCGGAACTGATCATAACACGCCACGCGAAATATATAGCCGATCGTAAAACGGGCATTATATTGGTTTATGGGGATGTCGCGTTGTGAACTCGGAGGATAGCCGCGGCGCGCTGCGCACCTTTCCTATCAGACGTAAATCGCGCGCGCGCATTTTCGTGTGTGTGCCTGAATGTGTGTGTGTGTGTGTGTGTGTGTGTGTGTGTGTGTGAGTGCGCGCGCGCGTGTGCATGGTTTGTAGGATGCTAGTACTAGGTCATTTTTTAAAATTCATTTATAGCAAATAATTTCCTGTTAGACTTCGGTATTTTAAAAACGGCGCATGTTAAATGCTGGTGGAAGAGAGACTGTTCTTGTTGATTTTTCGTTAAAAAGATCCTATTTTCAGATTTTTTTTGTGTAATGCAAAATATCTAATGAGAAATGTTTTTGTTGGCCCTCTCCAAGCAGGTCCAAATGGCTGCCCGAGGCGCAGAGGTCGACAAACGTACACCCGGTTTCAGACCCTCGAGCTGGAGAAGGAGTTCCACTTCAACCACTACCTGACGCGGCGGCGGCGGATCGAGATCGCACACGCCCTCTGTCTAACCGAGAGGCAAATTAAAATTTGGTTCCAAAACCGGCGAATGAAGCTGAAAAAGGAACTGCGAGCAGTGAAGGAAATAAACGAACAGGCAAGGAGAGAGAGGGAAGAGCAGGAGCGGCTCAAGCAGCAGCAGCAGGAGAAGCAAGCCAAGCTTGACCAACCTCAACAGCAGCAACAGCAGCAGCCTCAGCAGCAGCATCATTCTAGTCACCACCACCACCAGCAACCGCAACACGATCACAGCAAGCTCCTCGGGGGACTTGGGGATAAAATGGGTGTGCCGGGAGCGGACCTACTGAAAGCTGTCAGCAAAGTGCCCACATAGAGATTAAGGTTCTCATATACCTAAACAAATACGTAATAGTTATTCGTAATATTACTTCTGTAAGCCCTTTCATGACGTACGAGAATGTTGCCTACCCTCGAGCAACGTTTCTGTATATAACGCTCTCTCTACGTCCCCGTGTTCTATGTGACATATGTTCAACGGTTGCCCCGGAATGGAAATTTAAAACGCGTTGCATCTTCGAAGTAGTCTAAAGTAAAGCGGGTCCAATATCTTGCCTTTACCTAATACGTAACTCTTTTGACGTTGGCCTAAGTATTAAAAAAATATTGTCTCTGCTCTAAATTTGTAGCCTTCTTTTGAAATTACCTACCTTCAGCAAAGGAAAGGCTCGTCCAAAAATGTTTCTTATCTTTTCAAATGAAGAAAAAAGAAAATTTATGATGCATGCAACTACTTGGAGTCTTTGAAAAGTCTTAGCTTTAACCTAGTATTTTGCGTTTCTCCATCTACATTGTAGTTACGGGGAACCGGTTGGAAAGTCGCGAACACTCTAAAGAATACTTGACAAATGCCATTTATTGTTACCTGAGATAAAGATTGGTGTACTCTTAGCAAAACTAGATAAATTTTCAATACGTAAAGAATTATTGCAGCATGTTAATTAGGAACACTTCAAGTCGTTTCTATTTCAAAATTGCAAGATAGTTGCTACTCACCAGTAGCGAATATTCACTACTCGTTTTCTTTTAACAATCTTTTCAGATAATTAAAGCAGGGAAAGTTTGCGAGAATATATGTGTTTCTGTATTGTAATAAGAATATGTTTGCAATTAGTGGTTTCGGAGCGTGTTGCAACGGGATGCTCCAAGGCACTGCTGTCCCACAGGACTGCGATTCAAGCTGAGAGACACCCTTGTTGCTAACTTGTTTTATGATGTGATTTTAATACGTATTTTGTTACTTGTTATTTTTAAATATTTTGTCCTTTTTGGTTATGAGTATAACTATGGATCAGTCTAGAATTTGATACTAACTGCCATTATTAATTTACGAAGAACTTATTATTTCTTATGAGTTATTGTTTAGTAAAAAGATTATTTAAATGTTTTATGTGCATTTTCCACCTACCAGCTCATGTCGTACACAGTATGATGATGAAAGCAGGTGTATATTGTTTTTCTGGACCGTGTCATAAAAGAACACGAAAGATCGTTTCCTTTTACCATCAGTAAGCCTTTGCATTATTTTGTGATTATTTAACATGTAGGCAAACTTGTTCAGTTTACCTACCCAAAGTAGCATATAAGATAGGCTAAGTATTTAAGCTCACCTGAATTATCTTGCCATGTCGCCTTCCCTATTCAAGAAGACATTCCTCACAACGTTCCATACACTGATGTTTCTTTTGTATTAGCTTGCCCGAAGCGTTCATTTTTGACCAGATAGTACACGTATTTAATGGAAAAATTTCATGCTAAGGCTGCAAAGATGGTTTCTGTTACAAATTCTCCTTTAACCAGTTTAAGGGTGTCCTACAACTAAGTACAAATTGTACGAAGAATCGTCGGGGCTGCATGGCAGGAAAATTTTGCACGAGTGACTGTGCTCCGTAATGTATCCATTAACTTTTAGGTTTTCAAATATGACTTAGTAATGTCTATGTCTCAATATGAGTCTACTCTCTGACAAAGTTGAAGTCCAAATTGAGGATTGTGATTGTTCCTGTATTTTTAGGCATAATTACACAAACGGTGAATCGTAATTGTTTCCTTGTGCCAATGTAATTTTACCCCTTTTATTGTTATAAATTCATCTGAATTTCGCTTTCAAGAGATCGACGCCCGGAGTTTGCCGTTTCTTGGTCCATACTGAGAAAGTTACAAGTTCGCGAACAAAAGTATAGTAATGTAATGCAATGGTTTTTATAAATATTTGGAAAGAATTAAGTACAAATCCGATTTAAGTGCTTCAAAGCCATGTTATAAAACAATTACCACGAAAATATTTAAAGCTGAAAAATACCGATAATGGTCCACGCATAATGGAAGGCACACAATGCTGAGTCGACAAAGTGATATAAAAAGTAGCAGTTATACGTAATTTGGTGTCAGGGTAGGACGTTTTTTGTAGCGATAGAACAATTTTAGAGTAAATTATTTATTAATTTCATTGTTAAAATGATAACTATCACTCTAATCTCCAGTAGAAGCTTCTCTCTGATTTGCTAATTGCCTCAGTGCAGATCTCATTTTTTGTTAAATTTTTCTTGCCCATAAAGTTTCATTATAATATACTCGTAGGAATGAATCGCCTTTGTAAAGTGTGCTCGTGCAATCATAGTCTCTCAAAACGAATCATTTTTCTTGGGCAATCATGAACTGTTTTAGTAAAAATTATGGATATTTCTGGGAGGTCTCTATTCACGAAGTATTTTTTTACTGGCAGAAGGTGAAGGACTTCTAGCCCTCAAATCCGTCGTACAAGCACAATATTTCTTGACACATGTAGGACATTTTCTTATATTTTATCTTACGACAACGTAGTCCCTTTATATTAACTGGTCACAATATCGGCTTTTTCTTGAAGTGGCTATGCAATTGCTGCTTCATAATATTTGAGTTGTGCAGACTGATTTTCCCCCTTCCTCAAACTTGGTGCAATACAATATGCTTAAATTGTGAGTATAACTTCACAGCAAGTACAAAATATGTCAAGAAAACGTAATATCTCCCGCGTCTAAGCATTTCGGGGATAGCTGTGATATTGCCCCTACGGCATGTATGATGTGTACTATAATGTGCTTTTCTGTGTCGTTGTGCAAGGTTGCTGAAGACATTCAAGAGGTTGGATAAATGCGACCGCTGCAAATGCAAAAATAATCCTCTGTTAGTGGCAGAAGCTCGACAAACGCCAACAGATATTCGTACTCTGAAGTAATTTCAGTTCCCTTAAGCTCTTGTTTTCTGCGAATCGTTGGTTTAGCATACGTATGACTGATTGGGCCTCCAATATATATATATTTAAGGTGTTCAATGGACAGTATTTTCTCGTTTTGTTGGTTTTGCATAATGATTTTATTTGTGATATAGCAAGTAGGTATAACATCAAAACTTGCAACACAGCTCCTTTTTAATGCGAAAACTGTGTAACAGACGTTTCCCAAGACTCAATAAAAGACGAATTCCAATTGAGGCTTGACATGGCTAAATAAAAGGGAGACAGCCACTCTTACAGCAAGTTCTCTCGCTTATAATTTTCATTATAACCAGACATTCATTTAATAAAGTTTCTGCGTGGCGTTTCAAAACGTCAAGGGGCATTGTGCTTTAAGTTTTGTATTTGTTAAAAAGTGTGATGTGTCTCATGTGTATGATGAATGTGTTTTAGTAATGGAACATTTCAATATGATTCAAACAAAATTTCCTGTGTCCTTTTTTGGAAAAATTGCAATGTTTATGTTCGTGGAAAAAACGGAAAGGAATTGAACGAGACATTAGCTTTAGTCGACCTTTTTGTGTAAATAAAGGATTTTAAATCTCTACCTCAGTAGTTTCTCTCCGTCGTGCCTGTCCATGAAATCAAGTTGGTGGCGGAACCGTTGGCAGAACATTCAACGCACGGCCAAACCGATTTAGACTGTGTAGTAAGACGCAGTCACCCTCCGCCTTTCCAAAACTCTGCGCCGGTCACTCGTTTGTCGGTGGCGCGGAGGCCCCGGCTCCGGCTGGTCCGCAGGGCGGCACAGCACGGCCTCCTGCTTTGCATACAGATGAGCGCGGGGAAGGGGAGGGCGACTGGTCTGCAAATAATGAATCCCTATCATGGCGGCCACGCTCGTAAACCTGTATGCTGTCCGGAGGATATCGTTTTCTCGCCGCAGAAAAGTTTTCCTCCTTCTCTGTGAGGACCGAAAGGGGTGGTTCGGAGCGTCGTTGTGCGCAAGGGGTCTCCCGGAAGCGGCCCTCCCCCTTTCTTATTCTCGCCAGCTCGAATAAATCTGGTCTCGGAGACGCACAGAGGTGGATAGCAGACTCGACTAGAACTCTGTGATCAGAAAGTCACGCCTTTCTTCTGTGGTCCGACGGTAGTTGGCGGCCCCCATAAGGGATTTGGAGGAGACGGGCGAGGGTTTAGATTTCCAGTGATTCATTGCTCTGCTCCATAATGGCTCCTTTGCCACTGTGGTGCACCTGTCTGTGTTGGAGGGAGAGTGTGTCTACCTGAGCTTGGGAATCCTGTCTCAGCGGGCATTCCTATTGGTGCACATCAGAGGGCGGTTCCCCTGAAACCTGACCCCAACCTGGCCGCCCGAAATCCTTTACCTTCAAGCTCTTCGCCTCGAATCTTTGACGCCCCTACGGGATTCCTTTGGGCTCTCGTTCCGAATAGCGTCCCAGTTTGCCCCGTATCTCTTTTCCCTTTTAATTCATTTGCATTTCTTTCAAATCAAAAGCACGGAATGACTTCTTTTTTGGCTTCATGGAGGAGGGTCCAAAGAGAGTGCATGCCCGGCAAAGTTAGACATTGCAATCACACTCTCGAGGTGTGAGATAGGAGAGGGTCGCGGCCTGTTAGCGACTTCCATTACCACCAAGTTTACGGCTAAAATATTCAGATTCGTGCTTGCCCATAAGAATGTGACGGCGCGGCTGATAGGAGTGCATGAGAGAGGGGGGGGGGGGCGAGGGAGAGAGAGAGAGGTGATCGTAGCTAATCCGAAACCTGTAGGGCCATTTCCTTGCGGTCAGCGTTGTTTAATAACTTGTACGTCGGTTCGCGCGGGTAGCAAAAGGGGGAGGGAGGGAGTAAAAAATGCGTCCGCGAGATGGCAAAGAAAGTGTCGCGCGATGGATCTCTCCGTGGGAATAGCACGACGAGTGCGTATGAAATACATTGGAAGGCAATTGAACTGGAAGTAATATTAACAAATCAAAAACGCGTGTTAGATCTTACTGATTTCCAATTTTTATATAGTTAGCCTTAGGATTATCCGTTCGAAAAAACGCATGTGTAATAGATCCGTACCTCACTATCCGGCGTCACTACCCGACCGAGTAAGCTCGCTCCACACGGTGGATATTCAGAGGCTGCGGATGTGGCCTCGTAGGCCAAGTTCTACAACATTTGGGTCGCATGTTTTCGTCGTCACATATCCCCAGTTTCCCGCTCAGACTGCTGCTCTGTGTCGCCATCCCAAAAGGGTCCGACAGGCGGTCACAGAACGGCCAGCAGGGCTTTCCATCATCTTCCTCGCTCTTGGCCACCCCGGGAGCCGTCAGGGTGGCGTGACAGAGAGAGAGAGAGAGAGAGAGAGAGAGACCAGAAAGGCATCACATGGAAACGCTGGCCATCTCAGAGGAGGGGGTGGCTGGCTATGTCGTGTTGTGTCGGGATAGGCCCACCCGACCTCTGACATTGATTCATGATCTCCCGCAGCGGTGGAGAGGTGGGGAGGGGCAGGAGGTGGTCTCACCTGACCCCACGGCCATTAGAAGGAGTAAGCGAGCCGCCATTATGCACGCCGTGTTCTCATTGAGATCCGGTCAGGTTCGTTTCGTTTCTCTCTGCCGCGCCGTTGGGATTCGCTGTGCCTCGTTCCTTCTTTCTATCGCCCCCTCTCGCTCTCCTCTGTCGATTCCCCTCTCCGCACCTGAGGGGCAAAGAGAGATGGGAGAGAGGGACAGAGAGAGAGAGAAGAGAGGTCAGTATCTGAGACGCAGCCAGAGTTGTGTTGTGTGTTAGGATGCGAGGCCGCCGACGTCTTACCCGTGGACTCGGTGTGTGTGAGTGTGTGTGTGTGGACGTGTGCATGCGTGTGTCCGTGTGCCTTGTACGTGTGTGTGTGTGTGTGTGTGTGTGCGTGTGTGTGGGTCCGTGTCTTGTACCGAGACGATGAAGGTTTTATCATTAATAAGGCGAATAGAATTAATAAAAAGGGAAAAATTCAAATGTATGACCGCGGCGGCACTGCTGCAAGCTGTATACGGTGCCGTTGTCTGTGGTATGCTACATATCTGTGCGCGTCTCTGTCTCGTGTCTCTGTGAGTACGTGTTCCATAGAGTCGCCTTTTGGAAAGAGGGGGGTTCTCAAAATTTGCACTTCGAGAAAGAAATCGGTCCTATAAGTACACTAGAAGGATGCCGTCGATAGATTCAAGCGGAATGAGCCGCACATCGAAAAGGACGTGCAGCTCTCGTTGTACATAGTCCCGCCGCGACAGCCTGTTCCGCGCGGTGCTGCTGCCTCCTCGCTACCCGCCCCACCCTGGCCCATCGCGCCCCGCCCCACCGCGCCCCACCGCGGGCCC